ATATGATTTTTGCGATCCTTATTTTTCACGGGCCATGATTATCACCATTAAAATTTTGGCAAGTGGTGATTTGTGAAAATCAAAGCTATTTAGAAATCTTTATTTGATTTTAGTTAAAAAAAAATCTAACAGATTAGCTATTATGTTTTTTATTAAGGAAAAACGATAGTCCCTAACCAAAGAAAACCTTAATGGAAAAACTACTTTTTATCATAAATTATCAATAAATTTCATATTAAAAGTACTTTTCAAAACAATATCTTTAAACTACTATAATCAAAAAGCTTTTTTGTGAAAGCTTTTATAAAAAAAGGCTTAAAGAAAATAATTTTATTTTATCTTTCCAATGCTTTTTCATCAGTTTAATTATGAGACTCGTTAATATTGTTTATATAATTTTATTATTACTTATATAGTTTATCTATTTACAATTTATTATAGACATTAAACCCACTAAATAATTAAACTCATCAAAAATTGTTAATTAACGTCATTGAAAGGTTTTGTTTCGAAAAAGTTTATCCAATATTGTTAATAACTCCCAAAAAAAAAATTGTATTGTAAATGCTATAAGGCTCAAGGAAGTGGTGCCACCGAAACCACACTCCCTCCTATGTTACGTAGATGCCAACTTATATTTTTTCTTATTTCATCAACTGCAATGGGAGAGTGGGAAAAAGATTAGTAGAGAGAAAATAAAAAATAAAAGAAAGAAGATGATTGATTGAGAGAGAGAGAGAGAGAGAGCAAGTAATGAGGAGAAAAAGAAAAGGGAGTGCGGTTAGGGACTACCGCAGTGCGGCCTCCACCGCACCCAAACCGCAGTGGAAGGGCGATGTTCATGCTGAGGTGGAAAGAGACTGCGGTAGAGACCGCAGCCACTTCCCCAAGCCTAAGTATTGCGTTTGTTCCAAAAAAAAGTTGTATTATCAAATAATTTATGACGTGTGGGTTGACGGCTAGTAGTTAGAAAAATAGGTAGCTTTTAATAGTATAAATTTGATGAAAATAAAATGCTAAAAGTTCTAAAAACTACTTAAATTAGTTTTTGATTTATGATTTTTTGTTTAAAATAAACACTAAAAGGACTTACTATATAACAAATTTTTATTTTTTTAGTTTTTTTCTTAAAAACTACAAGCTAAAAACTCTACAAAATTATCAAAGATCTATGTCAAGCATATCCTTAATACACCATCAAGGATAAATTTTAGGTCACGTTTTGTACAAATAAGTTAAGTTATTGTAATTTCATGTTTGAAAAAACCTTTAAAATAATTTATTGTAGTTTATAAAATAACTTATAAGTTAATTTATTGATATGTTACTTTAAGCTGGTTTGCCAAAGAAATCTTAGTATAAAATTTATTCTTTGTTACAACTTACAATGACTAGAAAGAAACGACGAGGAAGCGAACCTGTCTACAAAGCTTTACTTCTCCCCCGGTAGTCGTAATACTAAGATGGTCGTTGCTTTGATTCAAAAGGTAATCAATGGTTTCGAACTTTTTCTGTTTCCGCAATCGAAACCATTTTTACGATTATAAACGTTTTTTTTAGTAGTGAGACGCTCATGGGCAATGAGAAGTGATATTATTGTTGATGTGACACTTCATAACCTAGCCATAACAAGATGAACACCCCCCCCCCCCCCCTCTTCTTGTTAAGAGGGTGTTATGGCATATCTCGTTGTAACAAAGACAAGATGCAACATGAAGTTTAATTGGTTGTTGTATTTATCAACCAATCAAATCATTTTCTCTCTTTCTCTTTCTACTTAATATGTTATAAGGCCTACATGTATATTGACCCCGAAGTAGGTCGTGGTCTAGGTGGCTACGAACCACGATCGTGCACACCACCCTGGTGGTTCGTGGTGGGTCGTGGTCGTGGCCCTCCGTGCTCCCGACAACGAACCCAAACGGCCAATAGTTTAATTTCTTGCATTAAATCTCGTTTGACCACTTTCTTCCCCTCCGAACGGCTTCTTTTCTATTTCTTCAACATTCACCTATAAATACTACCACTCATCTTCTTATTTTCATACAATTCTTCTCCCCTTTAGATACATTTTTATTGTTTGATCCTTCAAAAACTATGCCTCCCAAAAATAAGAAATGTCAGAAGAGGAAGAAGAGAAATTAGCACAAGCATTGGTGATAGTTTCGGAAGACAACGATGGTAAAACTACTTTCGGTTCTTTTTGGATAAATGTTGAAAGTATTTTCCATGGTTTAATAGGTTGTGCAATTCAAAATGTTGATGAAATATGCTTGAAGTGGCGCGATATGAGGCCAAAATGTTTGGAGCTCAATGGAATTTACAACTTTGCTGTAAACAAAATACACAAAGCCGATATCGATCCGATTAATGTGACCATGGAGCAATATGAAAACACAAATCATCAACGTTTTAGACATGTCAAAGTTTGACAAAAATTGAAGAATTCTTCAAAATAGAATAACCTTGCTTAAAAAAACACAAATTAGAAGTTTGGTATTTTTAGCATTTTAATTCTTAATGTTATTTTTATTGTTTTTTTTATTTTGGTTAATGTAATTTTTAGTTTTAAAGTTATTTTTATTTTTTTCGTTTTACTTAATGTAGTTTTTAATTATTGTAATTTAGTATTTTAAGTTAATGAAAATTAATATTTAAAAAAACAATTATATGATTTTTTTATGTATTTTTAAATTAAATTTAATTAAAAAAATAAGTTTGAGTGTTGTGTTTAATGGTAGATATCTCATGTTAATGGTAGATGAATATGATACTGATATGATACCCAGCACATATATGATATGTAATAGGTATAATAGATGATCTAAAATGAGGAACATTGTTTCCTCTTGGTGTTATGATTGAAGTGATATATTGGTGTTATAATATTACATATATCTAATTTTCTAAAAAAAGTGAAGATAACGTTTTCTTCGAACCGCCAATAGATTACATATCCTAAAGTAGTAAGTCTTACGATATCTTATTGTTTTTTCAAAGATTCTCCCACGATATCTTTGGCAAGGACATTTATGCCAATTTTGCATCTTTACAATATGACTGGTGAGTGGGTCATCATGGTCACGGATACTCCACTTTTCGTACGACTATTTCCATATTTGCAATACTACCCTTTTAGTGGGCCTAATGATTTCATGTGATTGTTATTTATTTATTTAATTTTATTTTTCGGGTGGTTGGTTTCTATTTAGCCTACCATGTCTCGTTTAATTGGGGCTGATACCAATTAAAGCTCACCGCTAATTTACAATCATGATTACACCTTAAATCTTAATTAGTTATGTGCTTATATCCCTGATTTGGTCAATGATTCTAAACCCCACCCATAATAAGTATTAAAGAACTTGCATTTGATATGCTCTCAAAGTCCAATTCCTAGTGTAAATGATCAACACAAATTGTTATGAAAATCAATTTGAAAGAAAATTGAAAACATGTCATCGCTATTAATTATGAGAAGTTATCTCAAGACTAAGAGTTAATTTACACAGTGTTGTCGTTGTCTCTTCTTCCTCCTTTCCTTACGGTGTTGCCACCCCAAAACTTTAATCCCCTAGTAAGAAATCGTCTCTAAATCTCCATTTTATTATTTGTTTTATCTTTCTGCTTTGCTTTTACTTTGATGATGAGGTATATTGTATATACCTTCTTTACTCAACATCAATCCATAAAGAGTGTTTTCCTTACACATAACTTTCAATTGTTTATTATTTTTTTTAGTTTTTAATGCTTAGACATAGTGTTTTGATGGTGTTTTCCTTACCTGTAACTTTCAATTGTTTATTATTTTTAGTTTTTAATGTTTAGACATAGTGTTTTGATAACTTTATTGTATATTCATTGAGTTATTTTTGAATTACCAATTTTCTAAGGTTAACTGATTTGTTGTTTACCTTTTTATTAGTTTATTGTTTTAATTTATTAAAACCACAAACCATTGTTAATTGATTATGGTTGTTGAATGAGAGATCCAAACATGGGTTTTTTTTTTTTAAAAAAAAACTATTGATTGTTTAGTGGCTTATTTATTGTCTATCGTTAATAATAAATATGTGTGAATTTTTTCTACCAATTTTCTATTTTCATATTTATGGACGATTGAGAATTGAATAAAAAAATACCAAGTGTTATTTGTGTTTTATTCTAATTGTTTTAATAGTAAACAAGAAGGAATCAAAAGCTTATAAATGCATTTCAATATTTTTAATACGAGGTAAGCCCTCTTATTCTAGAATTTTGGCTCCGCTCTTGTATATTTTGTGTAACTTTCTTAAAACACAAATTAACAAATGGTACTTATGGTTTTGATTATGTCTCCAAAATCGTGTTTATGATACATTTTTTTATATGAGTGGTCCATTTGGACAAAACATTTGCACTCCATTGGTTCTTATTGTGAATATTTGTTTGGTAGATACACCAAGTTGAGAGAATTTTGCATAAGCGTATTTATGATATTTTGTAAAACTTCGTCTATAGACTATTTGTGATATATATATATATATATATATATATATATATATATATATATATATATATATTATTTGTAATTGTTTGTTCTTTGTTCCTAGCTCTTTGCTATGCTATTTCAAAATATATATATATATATATATATATATATATATATATATATATATATATATATATATATATATATATATATATATATATATGAAATAGCATAGCAAAGAGCTAGGAACAAAGAACAAACAATTACAAATAATTCATCTCATTTTTCAACCAATCATATAAAAAAAAGAGATTTTTCTATTTCAATCAAAGAACCAAAGGAATGAAAATTCTCTAATGCAATGCAGCAACCCATGTTTCTTCAGCTTTCCAACTTCATGAAGTGTGTCATTGCATAACTTACATATAGCCCATAAAGTAGTGCATACAATGAAGTCCACCATACTTCTCTTTTCCGAATTTATACTCAAATTATCTATAACCAAAAAAAGACCGTGGAGAAAGTCAAAATGAAGCTGGGATATCTCCACCCACTTGAAAATAACATCCTATGTTCTAGCTGCAATTCACATTTAACAAAAAGATTGTCCATTTCTTCAGCTTCTAAGTTCCAAGTAGGACGTAGAATAGATGGAATATTCATGTCCATTTTTGACAAATTTACTCTAGATGGTAATCTATCCAAAAGAACTCTCCAATCCATAATGTTTACCTTCCTATGCAATACCAGATTCGATCTTATGATTGTAACAATTGCAAGTTTTGGCACCGATCATTATTTACAAAAAGTGACCAACATCGAATATAATAGACTTAACACGTAATATATATATATATATATATATATATATATATATATATATATATATATATATATATATATATATATATATGTATCACTATAAGATAGAAATACAAAGTTTTGTATGAAGATAAATAGAAGAATCAACCAAATCATCCATAAGTCATAAATATTAGTGCGCCGATACATACATACACACACACACACACACACACATATATATATATATATATATATATATATATATATATATATTTTGAAAGTACACGTCATCCCGACCCCCGAAGTATAAATTTCATAGAAATCTGAGTTCATATGAAGGAGATATGAATTTTATAATATATAAAAATCAATCACGTAGTTAAAATCATTAACGTCAAAAGGTGTTGAGAGAATGGTTGACTTTTGGATAAAATCACCAAAACGATACCATAGTCCTCTTTAAAATACGAACTTTGGTAAAAGGAATGTCAAAATCGGAGTCTATACAAGAGATATATGAAATTTGCAAAATCATTAAATGATATACAAATAAGAGATAAAAATAAAAATCAGAATAAGCCAATACAACCTAAACTAAAGTTGTAGTACCTGTTGATAGCTTGTAACGTCCTGATGATAAGGTACTTATAATTTTAACCATATAATTTAATTATCTTGCATTTTGGTCCTAAGTTCAAGAAAGTGTGTAAAAAGGCCCTAGTGGCATTTTCATAAATTAGCCTGTGGGGGAGTACGTCATGCTGCGTACACGTGTATGCTAAGTGTACTAGGGATTCACCGTAATACACTAGGCATACATCTTGTACGTGGGGCGTACTTGCTAGATATGGAACCTCGATTTTTAAGGTTTAGCTTGTATTTAAACCCCAGTATAGTCTCATTTCCCCTCACCTCATCAGTCACCATTCTCTTAAATCATTCTTGCAACCCTAATTTGCCTTGTACTTGTACGGTTCGGGTCATATTGCTATCCATGGTCTAGCTTAATTTTAATGAATGGTATTTATAATCATTATATTGAAATAGAAGTTGCTAAGCCCAGCTAAAATTGTAAGGCTGAAAACCCATATACTACTAATAAAAGGCCCTACTTGGAAGCCCAAACGCAAAAAAATTTCTTAGGTCACCGCCTCATATACGCGTTTTCACACCGTATATTTGAATTGTCAAGCAACATTATTTGAGGGCAAAAAAAGAAATCGATTTGGGGGCGGCTGTTGCTCAAGGATAAGGTTGCTAGGCTGTTCGAATCTCGATCGGTATTCGCCGTCGATTTCATTTTTCCACCATCGTTGTTCACCGGAGTCTGAAGAATCTTGTTCCGGTAAGAAATATCATCGCCTTTGATTGATTTTCGGCCTCAAAAAACAAAATCTTAATTTGAGGTTCGAAAGACGAAGATCGTCACCGATTTGACTGTCTAATTTCATACATCGCATAATCAATTTGACAGATCTGCTATATTCACATTGATTTCTGATATTCGGTTTCCTTGTATTTTCTGTATTGAATCGAACAATATCCTGTTGCTTTCTGTTTGGGATTTTGTTCGGGGTTACGAATTAGGGATTCTCGTTACAAATTTTGTTTTCAAAAGGAAAAGCGATTGAATTTGTTGAATTTTGGGGGCTGTAGCCTAGCCGGATATTTAGATCTCCGCTAGGGTTTCATCTTTTTATCTCTTTGTTCTGTTATTTGGTTGCTTAAAATCAGTTGTTGGTGTTGCTAATTATGGCGGCAGGACGACAGATCTCGAGGAAAAGCTACTCGAGTCGTTCCGAGGAAGAAACTCTTTCTTATAACAATCGATATAATCACAGATCTTTTGTTAGCGATCATGATCAAAGAAGACATCGATACGTTGATGGTGATTATGACAGGGACTATCGTCGCACGTCTTCACAACCAAATCATCATGGTTTGGAAAACAGAAACAAAGCAGCAGATGATGTTTCTGGAAACAACTCAAGAAGTTCTGACGCTACCAAGAAAAGGAAATTCTCACCTATTGTCTGGGATAGAGCTGAGAAGCAGGTGAAGATATCCTCCGAGAACAAAATCCTTCCTACCAAAACTGTTCCCTCTCAATCTCCTCCATCCAAATGGAAGTTTCAAGATATTATTGCAGACACAAAGATCGAAATTTCTCCTGTCGAATCTCTTGTATCCAATCTTTCAGATGAAGTTGGAGTATCAAGAGTATCAAGCTCATTGGCTACGAACACACCTGAAGAACATGATCATGAACCTGAGCACGAAGATGGAGAATACGTGGAGGAACGAAACCTATCCAAATCAAAGTGGGCTTTCAAAGACTCCCCTCAAATGGCATCAAACACCAACAATTCAAGCCCTGAAAGTGGTGAATTTAAGCAAGAACACATCGAAGACATGATTGAACAAATGTCATGTTTATCTGCCGAGGAAGATCAACAGTCCAAGTCTCTTGATGATGAAGAAGAAGAAGAAGAAGAAGAAGATGATGATGATGATAATGAAAGAATCGAATCTCCTGTAAGCATGATGCCATCCTGTAGAAACGTGTTCGAGTATGAAAGACTCGGGAAGATAAGTGAAGGCACATACGGTGTTGTATACAAAGCCAGAGACAAAAAAACCGGAGAAATAGTCGCATTAAAGAAAGTAAAAATGGGGAAAGAGCGTGAAGGTTTCCCTGTAACAGCGTTACGTGAGATCACAATTCTAGGATCTTTCCAACACCCATCAGTTGTAAAAATGAAAGAAGTTGTTACAGACGATTTCAATGGCGTCTACATGGTTATGGAATACATAGATCACGAACTCAAAGGCTACATGGAAAAAACAAAGCAACCATTCAGTCAAAGTGAAGTGAAACGCCTCATGATCCAGCTTCTTCAAGGGTTAGCTTTTCTTCATGAGAATTGGGTGATTCATAGAGATTTGAAGACATCAAACTTGCTTTTGGACAACAATGGTGATTTAAAGATTTGTGATTTCGGTATGTCGAGGCAATACGGGAGTCCAGTGAAACCGTATACCGCATTGGTGGTGACACTTTGGTACAGGGCGCCTGAGGTTTTGTTGGGGATGAAAAATTACACAACTGCCATTGACATGTGGTCTGTGGGTTGTATAATGGGGGAGTTGTTGTCAAAGAAGCCGCTTTTTGATGGGAATAGGGAGATTGAGCAGATTGATAAGATTTTTAAGACACTTGGGACCCCGAATGAGAAGATATGGCCCGGGTATTCAAAATTGCCGGGGGTAAAAACGTCTTTTGTGAAGCAGAATGGTAATAGCTTGAGGAAGAGGTTTCCTGGAGCTAGTTTTATGGGGACACCTGTGCTTACAGAGATGGGGTTTGACTTGTTGAATAGGTTTTTGACTTATGATCCAGAGAAGAGGATTACTGCTGAAGAAGCGCTTAATCATGGGTGGTTTCGTGAGAGTCCTCTTCCTGCTGAATGTGTCAGGATTTGTAAATAGGGTTTTTTACATGTTTGTTGTTTTAGGTGTAATGTATAATGTATGACTTGATATGCTCAACTATTAATGCATTTGATGGTTTTACACCAACTTAACTCTTTCACAAATGTGCTCAAGTTTTAGTTTTTCTTATAGTTTTGGTTGTAATTTGATTATTGCATCACTTCACAAAATCTGTTTTTACAACTTTGTAATGTTTGTTTTTACATTGCTTCCGTACAGCTTCATTTTTACACGTTCTTACATCTTGGTTTTGACATGTTTTCATAATGTCTTTTATTTCAGAACATCCATATTGAGTCTCGCTATAAACGAAGGCGTTACTCAACAAGAACAAGAATACAAGATTCAAGATGAAGAAAAAAATGATGGGTAATAACAATAACAATAGAAACAAAAACTAAGGGTAAAAAGGTAATTTTACACAAGTTTAACCGCAAAAACAATGACAAATTAAATATCCTCGTTTTTTTTTTCTTTCTGTTCATTTGAAATGATGACAATCTATTCATTTGAAATGATGACAAGTGTTTAAAACTGTAATTAATTTTATCAAAATATATGTTCATATGGATAGGAAAATATATAGGAAGAAAATGTAAGATATATAAGAAGAAAAGGTAAGGGATATTTAATTTCTCAAAAACAATATCTAATCATAACTACCCATATAATAATAAGAATAATTAGGGTCCTAATATAATATTAGCAATTACAACACAAATTATGCCCATTATCCATGGTACAACCTTGCTTTTACTAGATATAACCTTGTAACCTAAAATCTATTTTCAGTTTATATGATTACATATAATCCCTATCAAGTAGCACACCAACAAAAATAAGTCTGCTCCATTGTTAGTTGTTGCTTTGCTCATACCATGTTAGAGAGCGAAGATGTATGAAGAGGAGTCGAATTAGATCATGTCTACCTGAGTGTGATAGTAATGGTCTTACCAAGCACAAAGAAGATCAACGATAGCTCAATGAAGAAGATGGTGTTAATCAGCATTCGATCAATGATCCATCCAAAAACAGTAAATCCACCCATGTTTGATTGTACATACGCCACTACAACACAACATAATAAAAATCATTCTAAAAAAAAAGCATAAAAATCAAGAATTGTTACCACATAAGTTACCAAATGATTGTCTTTTCTGATATGATGAAGTAGAAGAAGCGAACTTGTTATGAACAGAAAATGGCACAAAATCCCCTGATTCCAGCTCATTCTGTGAACTACGATTAGCCTCCAAGTTGTTGTCGATTAATATTTCAGATTGAGAAGAATCATTTGAGTCGCATGTCACTAGTGCATGCCATTTACAAGCAACAGATCCAAGTGCTTGAGCTCTGTGAGAAATTTTTGCAGCTGCAGATAAACAAAGAACGATTCCTACAAGCTGAAGAATCGATAATACCTGCATATGTTTTCATTCAGAGATGTAAAGAACTAGATCTAGAATTCTATATCGAAGTTTAATAACTGGAAATAAGTAACTTTTGCTTACAGCAAAGTCGCCTGTGTTTATGAAGTTTATGATTCCTTGGTTTTCAGTTGTCTGTAAGAGAGCTGAGATTTGACTTCCTGTAACAACCAAGAACTCGAGAAGAAGAAACGCTCGAAACCTGTGGCTAATTTTGGATAGATAATGGAGGAGACGCATATGCTCTTCAATATAAACAGAAACATCCAAATCTCGTTCTAGAATGTTGCTGTAGTTTTCAATTCGTATCACTTGTAAATTGCCAACCAAATTGAACAAAGCGGTGCCTGATAAGAAGACTACGGCGGAGTATGACCAAGTTACTAGGGAGACTAACAGATACGCAACAGATAGCCACCATGAACCATGATGCAGATAAACAACGCAAGTGATCTCACGAGCAGTCTTCAGTAAAAAACACACCGATAACCACAAAGCAATCCCTCGGAAAAAGCCCTAGCGAATCAGAGCCAATGACAGAGAGATGATCTTAGCACAGTTCACATATAAACTTAACAGAATTACGGAGATAGGGAAAGTTCGAGCTTACGTAGATCTTCTGGATGTAGAGTTGCCGATACAGAACAGCGTATCCATCGTAATGATCAACGAATAGAAGCTTCCTGACACCGTATTTCCTCAAATTATGAGAAACACAGAGCAGAGAAATGGCGGCAACGATAGCCTGAGAAACGAGAATCTCAAGCTCAAACCTCCTGATTTGGTACTTGTAGCAGTCGGTGCAGAAGGAGTAGACGATCAAGAGCACCGGTGCCACCACACCCACAACAAAGAAGACGATCCACGAGACGGCGGTGCTAAGAGGAGAGTACTGACAGAAACCGAAAACTCCGAGGAACGATTCGAGTTTTTGCAAGGCTAGTTCCAGCGGAGCATCGTCGGCATCATTTGAGGCGTCAACGAGAGGTGCTTCAAGCGACGAGCTGCTTCCAGTTCCCGACGGAGGCATCGCCATGATTGCGCGTGCGTGAGAATGCAAGTGGAGGGAGCGGGGCGTTTTTTCTAAATTGGGAAGAGAATTGTCAAAGGAGAAGTAAGACTTTGGTAGAGAAAGTGAGAAACTACTAAAATGGTCCCAAGACTATCTTCAAATTTCAATATTCATTGTCTCATATACCCTTTTATTGTATTTTGATCATTCCAGTGTTTTTTCTCCTGAAAATGCCAAGATAATAACAGAGAAAATGATTTTGTATGGTAATAAATATCATTTTTGTACATAGACATTTTTTATTTTATATACATGATTTACTATTAAAATCATCTAATCATCTGAACTACTAAAATTTATCGTTATCACCAAAGAATTATGAGTAATGACATGAATAAAGGGAGGGGTGGGGGCGTTTTCACCGAAAAAGAGAATAAGGAAATTGTATGCTTGCATTGTTTGAAAAATGAACATGTAAATGGTGTGGCCTTTCTCCTTTTAAATTGTATCAAAGAAGATGAGCGAAAAATTTATGATGGCCGGAAAAGATGAAAGTGACTAAATATGTATAAAAGTTAATTTGATGGTAAATTGTATATAAAAATGTTAGTTAATGGTATTTTTTGATATAAAAATGTGAGTTTGATGGTATTTTTTGAATAGGTAAATAAGCTAAACCGATTCAAAATGGTATTTTTATAACAAAAATAAGTTTAATAGTAAATCATGGACATAACAAATGACTTCAACAATTTAAGAAGCATCTAATAAGATGTAATTAAGTTTTTTTTTAATGAATTATATTTTCTATTTCTATCTTTAAGTATAGTTGATGTCTAGTAATTTTCATTCAATTTCTTTTATTTTCTTTTATGTAATTTTGATTTTGATATTTTAACAATTTTAGTCTTCTTTTTCATGCGCCTTAAATAGAGTAAGTGTTTAAGGGCAAACCTAAGGTGAGGACAATATGGACCATCATAGATATATAATATTTCCACTTGACATTTCAACAAAAAACGGAACCACAAATTTGCTTAAATGATGGAAACAATTTTGCCTCTAAAAAAGATAACGAGGTAAACAAAAGAGTTTTAGAATGTAAAAAAAAAAATAGGGCAACACGAAAACGAAATTACAACTACAAAAACATATCCTTCTCATTCACCGTCGCACCACCTGTACCTGTGATCCGTCTTGAGCTCTCCAACTTGATGATACTCTATCTTGTTCTAGCCGGTCTATGTAACACCTGTTTTCCAAGATTGATTGATCTAGAGTGTTAAGGAGTCAAAAGTTGGTTTTTTTGGAAAAGATCGAGTGTCGCCACGTGAAGATTGTTGTTTAGCTGTGATTGGATGAGGTCGATCACAACAAATCTGTAACAGCCCGATATTCAGGTACTTCTAATTCTTTCATGTCATGGTAATTGGTTTGGTGGTTGCAATCATGGGGTTTAGATACGGCGTGTTGGAGGCACCAACACGATGTGTCTAGCCTCCAACACACCGTGTCTAGACAATAAAAGACGTGTGTTTTGGCTGAGCAAAAAGACGTGTGTTTTGGCTGAGCAACACGACGTGTTTTCCTTCTGGGCACGACATGTTGACCGTTGTGTGTGAAACCTTAATATTCTGGGGTTTATTCCCCTATTTAAGGATTGTTGGGGCTAGGGTTTGTCCAACCTCAGCCTCCATTTGCCCTCTCATGCTCAAGAAGAAACCCTAATCTTTTCCTCTCCCATTTGTGAAGATAATTGGTGTTTTGAAGGAAGAAGGTGAAAGAAGGAAGCAAGGATTCAGCTAACAAGCATCATACTTCAGTGTAGCACTCTCCTGGACCATTGTAAGTGTTTAAGTCTCGATTTTTATCACTCATAGTCATAAAATCTTGAGATATGTCCCCTTTTCTCTTTGTTGTGGGTTGATGAATGGAGGGATCTCATAAAGTTTGCAACTTTATGAATCTCCAGATCAAGGAGACCTTGTAGTGGCTTGGATCTGGTTTCAACCAAAGTTTTGATGCCATGCATGGAAAGGAGGTCATGAATTCCCCTTTTGACATAATATGGGTTCAAGACACGCATTGTGTAACGCTTGGTCCAAGTATAAAACAATTCTAGTTATTTTTCAAGAGTTTGGAATGGAACTCGATGAGTTGGCGAGCTCCAACTCGTCGTGTTGGAACATTTCTAGCCACAGATTTTAAGTGGCCAACTCGACGAGTTTGGGAGCCCTAACTGGATGAGTTGGTGCAGAGGGAGAAAACCCTAAATTTTGGGGGTTGCACCATTTATAAAGGACTTACCTCTTGTGGCTGGACTCCCTACCAGCCTCCCTTGTACAGAGAAACCCTAGATTCATATTCCATCTTGCATCTTGAGTATGGTGAGCTTTAAAGAGTGGTTTTTAGTGATTCTTGAAAGGAGCTTGGAGGTGGGAGGCATCTAGCTTGAAAGAAGGGCTTTAGATCCAGAAACTCTTCTTCAAGGGCAACATCTTTGAGGTATAATGTCGACACCTTGACATGTAGTTATCTAGATCTCCTTACTTGAAGTTGAAGTTTGATTTTTGGGTCTTTGGTGGAGTTGTCCAAGAAGAAGAGGATTCTAAGGGTTGATAGGGTATATCTGACCCCTTCATGACCTCTTGAAGCTTAAAGTTGCAAACTTTATTGATCCCTATGTCCCATTCATGCAATATATCCATTATGAAGTTAGAAGTGAGCCTTAGAGGGTATTTCTAGCATGCATCGACATACAGTTGGAAACTTTATGTGATTTGCCAACCTTAGGACATCAGATCTTTGTTTTGGAATATTTGAGTGAGAGTTTAAGGGCTTAATGGGTCAAGACCCTCTTAAAAGGACCTAGGGTTTGAGTTTGAAGCTTTATGGATGGTCCTTGAGGGTAAACTTGGAAACTTACCCTTCTAGACATCATTTTTGAAAGGGATCTGAGGTTTGGAGTCTTTGGATTCAAAGGAAACGACTTAATGCATTAAGAAGTTGGTTTTCTGGCCAACTCGACAAGTTCATAAGTGAACTCGATGAGTTGGTGGAACATTTCGCGATCCGACCAGTCAACAAGGGAACTCGACGAGTTGATAGCCAAAGTCGACGAGTTGAGTCAACTCAGAATGTTGAGCTTAACTTTGACTTTGACTCATGTTGTCCCTTAGGGTTTGAAGTATTGAGTTGAATCTAAGGAGCTGTTTATGTTTAGGGATTGAGTAGAGTAGATACTCGGAGCCATGGCCTATTCAACTACCGTCAACATTTGAGGTGAGTCTCCTCACCATACCAATGGGTCGAAGGCACCAAAGTAGGCTCATTTAGTTAGTTGTGGTAATTAATGAGAATGTGTCATCGACATGTTTAGTATGTATAGATGTGAATGTGTTAGTATCTTGTTGGATAGTTATATGAAGACCATGGGGGGATCCTATGGCAGGTAGTTAAGACCATGGGGGGAGCCCATGACACATAGGTATAAGACCACGAGGCGAGCCCACGACATCTTGGAATAAGACCATGGAGTGAGTCCATGGCATCCTTATATGTTGCATGCATGGCTCATGTGGTTTATATGGAATATGTGATTATGTGGGATAGGTTATGGGAAACTCACTAAGCATCAGATTACAGTTTGTTGGTTGTTTCAGGGCCTGGCATAATGACGCGACATACACTCACTGATGTTTTATTATAAACACTCTGATATTTTGAATAATTTATTTGATGATTTGGATTTTTGAGAATTGTGATTAGAATTTTATAATTAATGAATATGAGTTTGTAAATTAAATGAAATTTTTTATTGAAAAATTTGGGTTGTTACAAGTTGGTATCAGAGCCTTGGTTTGAGGGATTCGGGCACACTCTCAGGTGTGTCAGAACTCAAACTGAGGGAATGGTAAAATTGTTTTTCAAAAATCAAAAGTTAAAAATCTCTTGAAACCAATTTCTTTGTAAGAAAAAGGGAGAGTGCAATGCGCGTAATCGGCCGAGCTCAAGTAAGTGTTTCCCTAACATGTTAGCCATGTTATAGTTATATTTGAAAATTGATAATTGGATGGATTTTGCTATGTGTATACTTTAAAAGTTGTATACATTTAGGATTGCATAGCCCTAGAATGATGAATTTTACCTTATTACTGTTCCTTGTTTGGATAGTGGTCTAAGGTAGAAGCTTATACCAAGGTCTATGTGATTCATTTATGTATAACTTGCATGAATAGGGTAACCTGTTATGATTAATTTGAGTTCTGGTTGATGGCAATTGAGAAAATCTTAGGGTAGCCTAAGATTTGAGTTATGCAGTATTCTGAGAGTCATGTTATTGTTTTAGGGTGAATTATGGTTTTTAGGTAGAGCCTTGGGGAAGGTACAGGTAGGTGTGGAAGATAGTATTGGGCCCGTACTACTGAAAGCACATGACCAATACCCGAACCAATGGTAGACCTGAAAGCTCTAAAGAGACCAGTAAGGACGAGGGATTCCTTATTCGTATATCCTTATCATTTTGTTTTGTGGTATTTTCAGTCGAGGATGGTGATGATCACTCGAGGTTCAGGATCAGGATCGAGATCTGGGTCGGGCTCCGATGTAGAGCCCATTGATGAGAGGTTGCGCGATCTTATCGTAGCCAAGGTGACACGTGGCATTCTTGATGCTACCCTAGTGATTTTTGGGACCGTCAAGGAGGGTATTATGGAGATTATGGAGGAGCGGCTCAGGTCTTTTCGAGCCGAGATTGCTGCAGGCCAGGTTCGGGACCGAGCTCCCTTGTTTTGGGAGTTCAAGGCGTGTGGGATGCCCAGGTTCTTTGGGGACAGGGACCCCATCACGAGTCAACATTGGGTGGAAGACATGGAGAATGCCCAACGCACGAGTTTTTTCCCTAAGGCGATAAAGGTGGGGTTCACATCTTGTATGTTGAGGGATCGAGCCAGGGATTGGTGGAAGGAGGTTACCTGCGAGGTGGGGTTAGCAGGTGTCGCTGAGATGACTTGGCATGA